GCTGGCAGGGAGGAGTACACTGGGATTGAAAGAAAGGAAACCAGGGCTTCAAGGAACAGGACCAGGACAGAAGGTAGGGCCAATCCCATGAGAAGATGGAAGTTGAGTTTCCTAGCCAGTTTTTTTGCATCACTGGAAAACAGTCGGAATTGAATAACAAAGGTTGGCTGCCTTGCCTCTTCCCACCTTTCTGAATACAGGTATTCCTGAATTCCATGTTCATCACTTAGGGAACACATAAGCTTCCCTGAAAAATCAACTGATGCAAGGCAGATTAATAGGAGAAAAGACTCGTGACATTTATTTTGATGTGCACAGCACAGGGGAATTACAGGAGAATGATTACCCAGTAACCCATTGGGGCATGGATACGTTTTTACCCTTCTTCATAGAGGAGGGGAGATGTTGAAAGGTGGCAATTTGGGGAATAGTAAATGATTTTTAGGGGAAAATGAATGGACTTGAAAAACATACAGTGGCCTGGGACAAAGTCTGTTGGCCCTGCAGAGTAGACAGTGGTTTGTGACAAAACCTGTCCAGGTGTGTTGACAGACTTAGTCTTTCTTCCTGCAGTGTAAGTTAAGTGAATGAAAGTTCAGAGAAGGGACCAGAGGTGATTGTTTTCTTCTTCCAGCAGGTCCAGACTTTAGGCAGATAAGGGAACTTCAGAGAACAATTGCATCCTGTGCTTTAGGAGAGACAGAGAATTGAGAGACAGGAAGGTGAGGAAGATCAGAGAGACCTTGCATCGCTGCTTCAGCCCAGCATTTCAAAGTGCTGTCTTTTGGGATATCAGCTTCTGAGCCCCAATGTTGGCAAACTTGTTACTATTTATGATCAGGGATTACCACACCATTTTGAGATTGCTGTTCCTTGGGGAAAATAAAATCTGCAAATCAAGCCTATCGTGCCACAACTGAAACACAATTAACTCACCAAAAAGATAACAATGGCAGGAATGTGTAAAAGTTATCTGGTAGGGTTAAGGAAAAGCTTATTTTCTGCAGCCCTCATACAGGGTCATTTTTGCCAAGAAATAATTCTCAGTTTGCAGTTCTGAGCATAGCACCTTTTCTCTCTTACTTAAAAAAACACTGTGCCTTAATTTCAGTGTTCACAATAGCCTGGAATGGAGTTGTCGCCTAAATTCTGTGTGACTGAAAATGAAGCTAGAAAACAATTATTTTTAATTTGGCCGAGTTTTTTAAAATTTATTATATGCTTTAACTGTTGTTGGATAAGATCTACATCTTTAAAGTGCCACTTGTGCATCCCAAGGTTACTTGTCACTCAGCAGTTTCTCCGCCTGCCAGACCTCAGAGACCAAGGTGATGGGAGGGCTAGTGTGTTGGTGCCAGAGACTGGACACGAGTTCCTCAGGCCAGTGCCCTTCTAGCTGGAATGATTTTGGCAGGAATGCACATAGAAAAAGGAATTGAGGTCTTGAGTTCTAAAATAGTTACAGGGTTTTTATAACACATAGTCTTTACTGTTTAATTCCATACAGTGTTTGAATTCTTTAGGTGAGTTCTTTTCAGCAAAAGAACTGATGAATATTTTATAAACTAAAATCTGGTAAGAGCACTGTTAGAAATCCTCAGCATAAGTCAGCTCATCTTTTAGCTAGAGAAAGTTCTGAGTTAGAGTAGATCATAAGTTCTGTGCATAGTGCTTGTGGCCAGCTGATTGATCACCCAGTACCAAGGGGGAAAGCCCTGGACTGGTGTAACAACAACATTACAAAAAGTACCATCAGCCCAGTGCGGTGGCTCGTGTTTGTAATCCCAGCACTTTGAAAGGCTGAGGTGAAAGGAATGCCTGAGCTCAGGAGTTTAAGACCAGCCTGGGCAACATAGGGAGACCCCGTCTCATTTTTATTTAAAAAAAAAAATACACACACACACACACAGAGCTAGTGCTCGACTTACGACCAGGATTGGTTCCGACAGGCCGGTTGTAACACAATTTGGTCATAAGTTGAGTAGGCTATATGTACAGTACTGTGAAATGATGTTATAAAAATCTTTAAGTCATATTTTATCATAATTTTCTTTCATTGTTATATATCATAATTTTCTTTGTTCATTTTATGCCATTTGTATCATCTCTACACCATTTTGTTTCTTATTTTTACATTCGTCAGGTTTAAGTAAAACACTGCATTACCAGTACAACTGGTTTAATATTTGCAAAACATACAGAATTACAAAATACAAGTGCATACAAAAATACAAAATATCCAAGACACAAAACACAAATTGCTGTACCGAGTCTGGGATAACAGTTGAAATGGTGCCCGCGGAGATGGTAGTGCTGCCGGAAGCTGGTCCGCACTGTTGTACGCCCAGCTGGGCAACGTTTGCGCTGCCAGACGCGGAGCAGTCGTGGCTAGTGATTGTGGTCGTAAAGTCGAATGGTCGTTAAGTTGCATAGGTCGTAAGTCGATCAATACCTCTCTCTATATATATATACTGTAAAGATAAGTGTGTCATGTGAATTTCTTTTATCTGGGTTTAAATTTCAGCTTGTCATTTGACATGTAATTTCATTAAGTTATGTGCTCAGCATTGTGCTGAGTGCTGTGAGAAATGTGAAGTAAAATAAAAATTCAGAAATATAGTTGCTATTCTCACCAGGCCTTTGCTCTTGTTGAGAAGACTCAGTAGGGATGACTCAACTATGGAATAGCACAAAGTAAGAAGGTAAGGTGTTGTCTCTTTTGTGCTAAAGAATTCAGGGGTAAGAAAGATTCCTATGAATAGGGTAGTCAGGGAAGCTCCTAGTGGGCTGAGAGATGAGCTAGTCTAAGTAAGTCTGACACTTAGATTGATCAGATTGGCAAAGAACAAAGGTTATGTAGCATTTCTCCTGGCAGGACAATCAAGCATTACTGAGCACTGACGTACCATGGCATGGTGGTAGTGAGGGGATGTTGGAGGCGTGCAGATGCAGCTAATAAGTAGGTGCATTCTGTGGGAGAATTTGAAAACAATAATAAGACCACTAAAAGTCCGTCTGCCTTCTGTTGTCGGTGCTGGCTGATGCTGCAGTGGGAGCAGGTTCCCTCCATGGGAAGGTGTATTTTGATATCTCTGCCATCCTAGTGAGCAGTGAAGGACTGTTTCTTTCTCCCTTGCCTCACCTACTTACTGTTCTTCCTCTGCCATCTATAGCACAAAGTCAGTCCCCTGAATGGTCTCTGGGCCTCGGGTCTCTCCTCACCAACTCCCTCCTTGCAGGGCTGCCAGGCTAACCCTCTGAAAAACACTGCTTTCGAGCCAGCGATGGCTCGGAAATCCACAAGCTTGTTGCTATATTCTTTCCAATGTTTCATATTGAATTTAATTCTCCATTACTATCCTATCACCAGCAGCAACCCCTGCCCAGCCAAACCGGTCTCCCTTGCTGGTCTCCACACCTCCTTACCCTGCCATTTCCCATCACTTTTGCCTGTGTCTCTCCTTAGTTTCAAATATCATCTCCCCTTCTTCCTAAAATCCTGCCTGTCTCAGATTCCTCCTCCTTAGTGCCCCTGGGACTCCAGTGATCTCTCTGTGTCTTTACTGCTTCATAATTCCTGATTGGTGGCCTGCTCTTTACCTCTCACCATTGATTATATGTTCTCTTTTACTGCCCTGAAATCGGCTCACCATTGGTGGGACCTCTGAAGGGCAGGTGTTATTCTGGGAATTGAGTGATAACAAGATAAAGGCTTCCAGGAAGAATTAGGATCCAAATTTTGCCTAGGCAATAAGAGGTATTCATAGGTACAATAAGTCAGATAGGCCTGAAGTTTGGAAGCTTTGGGGCAGCAGAATGGAGGAGTGAAGGACCCAACTCAGGGTCTGACCTATAAGAACTAAGAATCCAGGCTTAGAGTTTAGACATAAGCTTGGGACTTGGCAAGGAGCTGGAGCACCAACAGTGTGGGTAAGAGTCAAGAATAGCACTTGGATCCTGTATGCCTGTTACTGTTTCCTTCCCAGTGTAAAGATACACTTCAGAGTAGGGGAAGGCCTGTGTCTGCAGTTGTCACTCACCCTGTAATAGATGGACCACGTCTCCTTCATCCTTATCGCATCAGGCACATGGCCATCAACTAGGCCCAGTAACTTCACCGACTGTAGTACTATTTACAGATTAGTACTTCGCAAATAACATACTGCTTTATAAGTTGCTTTGTAACTAATCTTCATTTTCTTTTTGAGGTATGTGTTGAATATTCCCAACTACAAATGTGAACAGCTCCTTTAAAATAGAAACACTGTTTTGTCTTTAATATCTTCTCTTGTAGCTTTTTAGAATAGACATTTTTTTTTAAAAGATAGTAACTAACCAATCTGTTTGAAGGCTACTATGATGCAATGACAGACCTAACCTAAAACTGTGACCAAATTGTTAGACTTTTATCACTTACCCAATAGACTAGATATAGCTAATAAAGGATAAATCCCTCTTTCCATACTTTCCTATTCTTATTAAGAATAAAGAAAATTTCACAATAGGATCTGAATGAAAAACTGATAGTCATTTTTCTACATTCAGAAATAGAGGACGTAACCTATACTTCAGCCAGAAGTTTTCAATTTCTTAGCAGTGACGATTTAAGTAAATTTCATAAGAGTTGTGGGGATCTAACTTTGTTATGATTGACAATATAAAATTAGCCTTTTCTGCTGTTAAGATTATCTAGCATACCTATCAGTCAGGAGGAATGTGGAGCGAGATTGCCCAGCTGTGGATTTGAACATCAATAAAGTCCACAAAGGGTTAAAAGTTACTTCCTCTGATGGATTTAAAATTGCCGCATACACACAAATAAGTTTTTCAAACTGCCCCATTTTATATCTTTGTTGAGAGACAGTATAGTTGCTGCATTTTAATGTTGAGATTATATTACAGATATATTGCAGTAAACCATGAAGAACCACCGTAGATTCTAGAAGCTGGCAATCCGTGCTTATATAAGCATCTCCTGCAGCACCTGTTTTATTTTATAGGTTCTGTTATCACAGTGACATTCTGAAAGAAGACTTTGAAGCTCACAGAGCAGCTGTCCTTACTAGCTCCCAGGACTCCTACCTGGGGGTGAAAAGGTAGGCAATAAAAAGCAAGTCAAGTCTTACTGGCTTGACATTGCTGTCTTGATGGGATGGCCATTCTTGTTCCTAAATGCTCCAAAATCAAAAAGATCGCCAAGTTGCAATCCTCTTATTAAAATACATCTGCACTGTTTACTAGCAGAGAACAGATTTCTACTCAGAAGTGGTCAGTAGATGCATGTCTGTGAAAGTCCCTCTGAAGGGACCTTGTTTGGCTGGCCGAGTGAGCGCCTGGCTTTGGGTCTGCTTAGCCTACAAATGGTGCTGTCTTCTTTACCTGTCATGTGCCGTTTAGGCTGTTCTATGTTAATGATATAAATAGGGAGGATATTTAGAGGATTCGGCTTGAATCTAGTGCACATTGGATTCTATCAAAGGGTGGATAGAAACCAGGATAATAGTCTTTAAAGGGACCTTGTCACAAGAAAACTTCACCGGATTAAGCGGCTCCGTTTTACATTAACTTCTACATCTGTACTTGTAATGTTGAAGCTATGGAAAATGCTGGAAATGACCTTCCCAGTCAGTAGCTTTTCAACCTAAGGCAGTAAAGGGCAATGCAAGAAAACCCTCTTTCCATTTTTATCATGCAAAATAAAAATCACAGTCTTAAATACTCCTTTACAACGTGGTGGAAGAAGCTGGCTTGGGAGGAGTCCTTCTGAGCTCTCTAGGTCATTTGGTGATTATGTGTTAGAAGGCTCTTTAATCTCCTGTTTCTTTTTCACTGCCTTTTATATCTGTTTATATACTATTTGGCATAAACCACAGTTGTGGTATAGCATGGGAAGAATATATGCATTTATAATTCTCTGTGCAAACTGAGTCGTTAAACTTAAATGATTCATTTTGTGACTCTCTTAACCTAGGCTGCCAAACTGTGATTATGGGTGATAAGCCATGATGTCTGTACCTACTAGACTAACGATTGTTAGAGTTTCTCATCATTCATGATAGAGCATTGATTTCCATTATGAAAGGTTGTGTTTTACATGACTATTGATCTACAGTTATGTGTAAATCAGCCTTCCATAAGAAATATCTTTCTTTATGACCACCACAAATATTTAAATTAATATCTAGAGTCTTCAAAACTGTTTCTTTACCACAATCATGTTTTAGAGCCAGATAAAGAAGTCAAGAATGTTTCTGCTGTCAGCATTACATTCTGCTACAGTTAGAATTGCCTCATACGTTGTGACTGGCATTTAATGCACACTGATTGTCACTGGTTCACTCTCTAGCCTTGAAAAAGTGCCAAGTATTTGTGACCTTTGAGAGAACAGCAGTCAGGTCTTTAAATACAGATTCTTTCTAATGGATTTTATTCACCAGACTCCCCCGCTACCCTCCTTACTCTAGCTTCCCCTTGTGCCTGTTAGCACCCAGAAGTCCCTGCTGGGAACTCCAAGTCTAAGTGAAATAGACCCGTCTGCTTAATGATCATCACCTGGCCAGTTTGATCAATGATTGCAAAAACACTGGTTTGGAGAGAATGATTTATTCTTGTTCTTTAATGGTTAATAACTGGTGTCATAGAATTCTTTTTTCCTTTTTTTTTTTTAAGACAGAATCTTGCTCTATCACTGAGGCTAGAGTGCCGTGGCATGATTTTGGCTCACGGCAACCTCTTCCTCCTGAGCTCAAGGGATTCTTGTGCCTCAGCCTCCTGAGTAGCTGGGATTACAAGTGTGCATGCTAATTTTTTGTGTTTTGGATATTTGTATTAGCACGTCCTGCTAATTTTTTGTATTTTTGGTAGAAGACGGGGTTTCACCATGTTGGCCAGTCTGGTCATGAACTCCTGGCCTCAAGTGATCCGCCTGCCTCTGCCTCCCAAAGTGTTGGAATTATAGGCATGAGCCATCACACCTGGCCTAGTGTTATAGAATTCTAATCCAGGAAGGGTGGAAAGGCTTTGACTGGTTACAAAGTCCTTAAAGGAGTGTGTGGTATAGCAGCAGCTCACATCTTTCTCTTTAAGCTTGATCTGTAAAATGAGACACCACCTGTGGTAGCATACTCTAGAGCAGCAGTCTCCAACCTTTTTGACACCAGGGGCCAGTTTCATGGAAGACAGTTTTTCCACTGACCGGGGTTATAGGGGTGTGGGCAGGGGGATGGTTTTAGGATGATTCAAGCACATTACATTTATTGTGTACTTTATTTCTATTATTATTACATTTTAATGTAATAATAAAATAATTATATAATTCACCATAGTGGAGAATTAGTGGGAGCCCTGAGCTTGTGTTCCTGCAGCTAGACTGTCCCGTTTGGGGGTGATGGGAGACAGTAGCAGATCATTAGGCATTAGATTCTCATAAGGAACATGTAACCTAGCTCCCTTGCATGCACAGTTCACAGTAGGGTTTGTGCTCCTATAAGAATCTAATGCTGCCCCTGATCTGACAGGAGGCAGAGCTCAGGAAGAGCTAATGCTCTGCCCTCCTGCCACTCACCTCCTGCTTTGTGGCCCAGTTCCTAGCAGACCACATACCAGTACCAGTACGTGGCCCAGGAGTTGGGACCCCTGCTCTAGAAGATAATGTAAAGATTTCTGAATTTCTGCTCACAAAATGAAGTATCTTGAGAGAAAAAAAGAACAAATCACTCTTGTCATCATTATTGGTTTATGTTCTATCAAGGATTAAGACTTTCATATGGGCCACGTGACTTATGCCTTTAATTCCAGCACTTTGGGAGGCTGAGGCAGGTGGATTGAGCTCAGGAGTTTGAAACCTGGGCAACATGGAGAAACCATGTCTCTACAAAAAATACAAAAAAATTAGCATGGTGTGGTGGCACACACCTATAGTCTCAGCTACTCAGGAGGCCGAGGCAGGAGGATTGCTTGAGGCCAAGATGTCAAGGCTGCAGTGAGCTATGATTGTGCCACTGCACTCCAGCCTGGGTGACATAACAAGACACTGTTTAAAAAAAAAAAAAAGGCCGGGCGTGGTGGCTCAAGCCTGTAATCCCAGCACTTTGGGAGGCTGAGGCGGGTGGATCACAAGGTCGAGAGATCGAGACCAGCCTGGTCAACATGGTGAAACCCCGTCTCTACTAAAAATACTAAAAATTAGCTGGGCATGGTGGCGTGTGCCTGTAATCCCAGCTACTCAGGAGGCTGAGGCAGGAGAATTGCCTGAACCCAGGAGGCGGAGGTTGCGGTGAGCGGAGATCGCGCCATTGCACTCCAGCCTGGGTAACAAGAGTGAAACTCCATCTCAAAAAAAAAAAAAAAAGAAACGGAATCTTGGCCACATCATTGGTCAACCCTCACCTGAAGATTGCCCTCACCTTCTTTTCAACTAGCCAATAAAGTTTAAAAAAAAAAGGCCGGGCGCGGTGGCTCAAGCCTGTAATCCCAGCACTTTGGGAGGCCGAGGCGGGTGGATCACAAGGTCGAGAGATCGAGACCAACCTGGTCAACATGGTGAAACCCCGTCTCTACTAAAAATACAAAAAATAGCTGGGCATAGTGGCGCGTGCCTGTAATCCCAGCTACTCAGGAGGCTGAGGCAGGAGAATTGCCTGAATCCAGGAGGCGGAGGTTGCAGTGAGCCGAGATCGCGCCATTGCAGTCCAGCCTGGGTAACAAGAGCGAAACTCCGTCTCAAAAAAAAAAAAAAAAAAAGTCTCATATGTGATGTTTACTATTATCGTGTTGAGGACCAAGCTAGTGTTTTGTGATTGGAAGCCCTTTCAAGTATGTGAAATTAATTATAGACAATTTAGAGTATATTTATTACATTTTTAAAGAATTACCTGACATCAAACTTTGTTTTTTCTCTGTGTCATCAATGTTATAAATTTTCCAACGTAGAGTAGACAAAACAGAAAAATCTCCTTTAAATCCTTGTACCATGTTGCAAATTTTCTGATATGGCATGTTTTTGTAGTACCATGGGCAAAACTCCATTTAAGGAAGCCATGGCTCTTGCCCTCTTGCCTCATCTGTCCTGAAATAAATCTGCAAGTCAGCTTGCTTTTGTGCTTTAGGGGTTGTGTTAGTTGTTCAGAAGTCACAAACCCTAGGTGCTGTACCTCCTTCAACAGCTCATTTTCCATTTGACCTTGTGCAAGTCAATTAATCGATTTTGCCCTTTTGTGGGAAAAAGTATAATAATTATAGGAAACCTTAACTAGTTTTTCTTGCTAGGACCCAAAGGGTAGTTGCAATTGAGTGGCGTATTAGTAACCAGAGTCTTGCCTTGGTTTTGCTTCTGCAGAAATTCATGTGCATTAGCCACCAGAGGGACTGTTCTTTGCTATTTTGATTCACATAGCTATTTAACTAATTTAGTTCATCCTAATTAAACTTGCTTTCAAGCCAAAAGCGTAGTTGTCTTACTTATTATAAGAAATATACCTGCGGAACGGGCTAGAATTTGCTGATGACTGGTCAGTGCATTTTCCCTGAAATGCAGGGCAGTCTGTTAAGAAACCGAATATAGATGCAAAGGTCAAGACAAAGGAATTGGGTAGTTTAATGACATCATTGCAGTATGATATTAACCAAGAAAGGCAAGTTGCTGAAAGGTCTTTACATCAAACTCATCAGAAGCCTTCGAATCATTCTTTGGAAGCTTTTAAATACGTTAAAGGATTCTAGTGACTCATCTCACTTTATGAAAGTCCTGGAAAAAAATAGGGTTAGGTCAGGCACCAGTTATAACAATTAAGATTTATTAAGGAAGGTTCTGAACTATACCAAGACTGACTTTTTTTCCCAGAGATTTTATTATGAAATTTTTCAAACATGAAGAAAAGTAAAAGGAATCATACAGTGAACATTTGTATACATACCACCCAGATTCTACTGCTGACATTTTATTGCACTCTCATATTTGTTTATCCATCCTTCCATCAATCTCTTATTTTCATACATTTCTAAGTAAGTTGCAGACACTAGTATACATTTAACTTTTTACCTTGACATTTTTAAACATTGGAAGTCTCATATACCCATTACTCAGATTCACCAACTGGCTACATTTCATTAGTCTTTCTTTTATCTCTTTCTCTAACCCTTTTTTTCTTGAGTAGTTTAAAACAGATAACATATCATTTCACTCACAAATACTTATACTGCTAGCATATAAGGATTTAAAATATTATTATTTAACCTAACAAAATTCTTCAGTTTACCTAATACCTAGTCCTTGTCAGTTTGCCTTGCTTATCTCAAAACATGTTTTTTTTACATTTGTTTTGTTTGAATCAGAGTTCAAATAAGGTCCACGTATTACAATTGGCTCTGTCTCCAAAATCTCTTTTAATTTTGTAACATTCCCTCCCTCTGTTTTTTTTACACTATTGATTTGTTGAATTGGGTCATTTGTCCGGGAGAATTTACATTCTTTATTTGGTTGGTATGTTTAACCAGTTCCTCTTTACTTTTTATTACCTGTAAACTGGTGGTTAGATCCAAATATGTGATTAAGTTCCAGGCCAGTTATTTTGGCAAGAAAATGTCATGGGTGGTGGTATTTAAAACTGGGAAGCACATGGTACTTGGTTACCCCACGGTTAGTGGTACTAAGACCGATCTGTAGGTTCAAATGTTGGAAGGTTGATGACTTCACTACAGAAGTTTACTATTATATGATTTTTGTAAAATTATGACTATTTCCTAGACAAATTCAGTAATTTGGACTTAGAAAATGGTGACTTTTCTAATTGGATTATTTCTTCTGCATTTATTGGAAGAACTTTCCCTTATAAACTACTTGGTGACTCTGAAATGCGTTTATTTGACCACAAAAGCAGGAGAAATGCTTGATTCTATTTCTTTACCAATTTGCAGAATAATGAATTGTTGCCCTACCAGCCTCCAAAGGTTTTAAAGTTTATTTTTATTTTGTCTTTATTGTGGTTTAAAAAAATGTAAAATTAACCGTCTCAACCATTTTGAACCGTACTGTTCAATAGTGTTAAATATCTTTACTTTGTTGTACAGCAGATCTCCAGATGTTTTCATCTTATAAAATGGACAATCTATACCCATTAAACAACTCCCCATTTTACCTTCCCCCCAGGCACTAGCACCCACTATTCAACTTCTGTCTTTATGAATTTGACTGTTCTAGGTACTTCATGTAAGTGGGATCATACGATATTTGTCCTTTTCTGACTGATTTATTTCACTTAGCATAATGTCCTTGAGATTAATCTATGTTATAGTATGTGACAGGATTTCCTTCCTTTTAAGGCTGAACAAAAGATTTTATTTTTATTTTTTAAATTTTGTTTATGTATTTTTAGATGAACGCATGGATTTTTATGTATTCCCTATATTTCAGTCCATTACAGTTATTGCTGTTTAAATTGTCCCGTCTTTGACAGTGGGAGCTTCCTCAAGATACCCCCTCCCCATCTTCAGTTCTTTTGACACAACTTGGAGAGCTTCCTTACTTTCTGGTACAACAAGAAGTTTCAGGTTCATCTTGTGCATTTCCTGCCCCAGCCCTGAGTAGGGCATTTCTTTAAAGAACGCTGGTTCCTTTTAGTATATAAATACCCCAACCTGGGCAGCAACATAGGCTTACTTTTTAACTCTTTCTTAATATCCTAATTTTTAAAATATTATAAGTAGACCATGGTAAGAGTGTAACAACAACTGCTGTTGAGATGAAGATGTGATCTATTTCTCTCAACTACATGTAGGAGACTGATCATCTATGCAGTGATTCAAAACCATTGTTTTCTTTAGAATCACTCTGTGAGCCTTAAAAATCCCACTGACCAGGCTGGGTGTGATGGCTCACGCCTATAATCTCAGCTCTTTGGGAGGCCAAGGCAGGCAGATTGCTTGAGTCCAGGAGTTTAAACAAGCCTGCGCAATATGGTGACAGCCTGCCTCTAGTAAAAATGCAAAAATTAGTCAGTCTCATAACCCAGTCTCTAAATAAATAAATAGATTAAAATTTTAAAATAAAATTAAAAAAAAAAATCCCACTGGCCAGGCCACACCCCAGATGAATTTTACTGGACTCTGTAGGGGTGGCGTCAGGCATCCAGATTGTGCAAAGCTCCCCAGGTTGTTCTGTGTGCAGCAAAAGTTGAGAATACTCGTTTAGCAATGAAGTAATTAACCAAAGTTTTTAAAAGTTAAAAAAAAAAAGATACTTGGACTCAAAATTCCCTTAGTCCAGAATATGTTGAATTTCAGACTTTTCTGGATAAACTATCTTCTACTAACATAATGGAGGCTTTTAAAAAGGTGGGAATCTTAAAATATTACAAATCTATAGTGAGTGTCCTATTTCTATTTTATAGACCTGGGCAAGCACCAGACTCAAGCAGACCGAGGGCACAGGTGGGTCAGCATGTTGCCACCTTGAAAGAACATGATAATTCTCTCAAAGAAGAGGTAAGTAGCTAAACTATCTGAAGTTTTCCCAATCGCAGATGTGGACCAGAGGGCAAGGTTAGTAATTTTTACTTAAAAAAAAAAAAATACATCTCCAGATGTACAATTTACTAATTTGAGGAAATGTTATATTTGCAAAAAAAAAAAAGAAAAAGAAAATGATAAGAAAAGTAGTGAGTGAGGTTTTGTGGTTGGTTGGTTTTTAACTTTCTGATCTCAGGCCTTCTGCGTGTTTTATGTAGGAATTCATTTTCCAAGAAATATCGAGGCATCTTATAATGCTCTGGTTTTCCGTCTCCATGCCATACTTTAGAAATACTGTATAGTCATTCACTTCAATTCAGCAAATACATATTGATCCATTACTGTACACAGATATCAGCCCAGATCCATTGGAGGGAAAGAGACAAAATGTGGCCCCTCCTTCTGGGGTCTGACATCATGGGATGCATGTAACAAGAAAATGGCAAAAATAGGGGCTTTCAGGAAGAGAGCCAAGCTAAGACTCCTAGAGAACCCTTAAATGACAGATTTTTGATGGTGTGAGTTGCATGGGGGCAGAAGCAACAAGAAAGGGTTGCCATGAGGCAAAGAACACACTGGGGAACCCAACACGTATTCCGGCAACAGAGCCATCCTGAGGCCGAAGTGTGGGCTCAAGTCTGGGGATGGTAAGAAGGAGCACAAGACGTGGTTTCCTGCCATGCTGTGCAGCATCTAGTGCCTGGCCAGGAAGACTGCGTTTAGTTTCGTAGCTTTTGAAAAGCCACTGGAGCTTTTTTAACAGATCTGTGATAGGATTTCTGCAGTGCCTTGGGGAACTTCATGCTTGGTTTGGGACTGAGACATTGAAGGAGAGAGCCCTGCAGTGGTTCAGGGAAGAGGAAGGAGGGTCCTGATTTGGGAGCTGGTGCCAAAAGAGAGTTTGAAGATGAACAGAAAATAGAAATGGATGGAGCAAGTTCCCAAGGAAATTGTGAAGGGAGGAAACAGAAGTCCAAGTTTAGAGCGTGTCCTTTGGCATATTCTGTCCTCATTCCCTAGAAAAGCCACACCCAGGGAAACAGCCTTTCTTTTCCTAGGTTGAATGTCTTGGGAATGTGTCTTGCTTCAAAGCATGTTTTTTCATCCTTATGAATTTTCTGGCATTGATTCTTTTTAAGGTGTTTTAAAAACTATTATGACCATGCTCACTGTTCAAGGATTATATATCTGTACCTTCTGGAGACAAGCGTTGCTGCATCTGTCTTAAAGTCACATGCCCACGTAGCTATGCCGTCTAAAGCCTCTAGCATTGCCCCTCCAGGCTTCCAGAGCACCTTTAGTCCTACTCAGACACCTCTTTCCTTGCCGCTCCAATTAAGAGAGTAGCAGGACTTTTGATTTTTAGCATTTCAAGCATACATTTATTCAGTGATAGGACGGACCCACTAATCCCATGCCCACAACCCAATTCACGTGTTGTTACCTTTGCATCATATTTGTTTCAGACCCCTTCTCCTCATCGTCCACCTTTCCCTCATCTTCGAACCCCACTCCCTTCCTCCTCCTTGTGTCCTCCCCCAACTTCACCCACCTTCTCTCTCTTCTGCTCTTTCTCTCTTCTCCCTCTTCTCCTCAAACTTCCTTCCCTTCCCCTTTGCTTTAGGGGGAAGAAATAAATTATTAAAAAGATAGATACAGCCCCCTGTATGCCTCTTACAGATTTCATGCCCCTTTTCAAAGATAACCTAGATCAATTCCTTCTCTGTTGATGAATGTAGATCTTTTTTGTTGTTTGTTTTTTCAAGACAGAGTTTCGCTCTGTTGCCCAGTCTGGAGTGCAGTGATCTCGGCTCACTGCAACCTCTGCCTCCTGGGTCCAAGCGATTTTCCTGCCTCAGCCTCCCAAGTAGCTGGGACTACAGGCACATGCCACCATGCCTGGCTGATGTTTTTTAAATTTTCAGTAGCGACAGGTTTCACCATGTTGGCCATGCTGGTCTCAAACTCCTGACGTCAGGTGATCTGCCTCCCAAAGTGCTGGGATTACAGGTGTGAGCCACCATGCCCGGCCAATGAACATAGATCTTAAGAAAGATATTGTTTGGGTTTTATTGTTCCTTTGATTTAGCACTGTCTTATTTATTATACTTGTTCATTATTTTTTATACTTGTTCACTGCAAGTATATCACATCTCAGGCATTTTAAGGGTGAAATAAGTGTTGATTGGCTGTCTTTTGCTATCTAATCTTTTTTTTTAAATGGTATTGTTTATATTAGAAAACATGGTCCAAGTCCCAATCAATCTACTCATAATTTTTTCAATAATGGGAGGGGGTGCTGTCCAACTAACAACTAATGAATCAAATTATATTCTGCCTCCATAATAGATCTTTGTTCGTTTTTAAATATGATCTCACTTTAGTGACAATCATAAAAATTACCAATACATTAATGACAAAATCTAGCCTTGAAAATGGAAGTAAACTGGTCATTTCTCATACAGTTAGGTTGTGGTTGAAGAAATGCACAGCCCCAAAGAACAATATTAACAAAATGATGCAAGGAGGGCAAGCTTGTGAACTTAAGGATAAAATGCTTTTGTAAGTCCTAGAACTGTTTTGATTTACATGTCATCCTTTTTCAATTAGTGAAATAAAGTGTCTTTGAATTGTTTCTGTGTATTGAAACCATGTACACATTTAGTAAATACTAGGGTTAAATCTCTCTCTTTAGACAAAATCTTAAAAGTAAGTGATTTTCAAAGTTTAAAAAAGCTTTACTAGAAACTACTTGGTTAAGAGTCTAATAAAGCTCAGAAATATTTACTTTGATCTCTTGGGTAAATGGCTAATTAAAAAGCTGCATGTAAATGATGTTTACCTGTGGGTCCCTGTGCTGTCAGCAAGTCAATCCCTTCTCTTGAGTAAATACATCATCAAAGCCACAGAAACTCAGATTATGTCCCCTGGAGACCAGATAAGGTCCGCAGTGCCCGCATAACCTATTAGGCAATTACATAATTGAGCTGCATGCTTTTAAATCAGAAAAATTTGTAATTGCTTTTTGTAGAGAAAAAATGAGTTGGGTGCTTCATTAAAATACAAAATGCCTTAATACTACTTTTCTCCCAGTGGATATCTGTTTCCACCCTGGAGAACTTTGTCACAGCAGAGCAACTTGCTGGTGACACTCATAGAGTAGATAGTGTCCTGCCCTCACCATATACACAGACCAGTTTTATTCACCAGGAAGATGCTTTCCCCAAATGCTGGACTGTTTTCTTGTTCTTATCTCCTGCATACTCATTTGCTGGGCCAATATGTCTTCCCAATTTAAAAAAATTCTGCACAGATAAAATCCCTTCATTCCCTTTAACTTAGAACTTAAGTGATGATGCTTGCACTTCTCTTTAAAGACCAAGAAATTACTTCCAGTGTCCAAAAGGAATGTTCTTGAACCTTGAGGAAGAGTCAGTTAAGTCTGCATATTAGGGGAAAATATTATCTGCTGTCCACATGCATGATTTTTAATTATTTTACTTTTCTGTGTCTGTGTTAGTAACACTGGTTTGCATATAGAAGGGAATTTAGTTTTATCAGGTGTGTTGGCATTCATTTTCTCTTTGTATTGGTACCATGAATAGCAGAAATTGGATTTCTTTAGAGCTAGCATATGTTTTCTTTTAAAAACAAGCATTAAAAAAATCTTGAAATAGTAAGATAAACAAAAAGAAGAAAACTGGTCGTGATCCTACTATTCTGCTATTTATATACAACCCTGTTAACATTATGATATATGGTTTTTAATATTTAATATATTTATTTGGATTTATTTGGGAGGCCGAGATGGGCGGATCACCTGAGGTCAGGAGTTCGAGACCAGCCTGGGCAACATGGCAAAACTCTGTCTCTACTAAAAATAGAAAAATTAGCCAGGTTTGATGGCATGCACCTGTAATCCCAGCTTCTTGGGAGGCTGAGGCAAAAGAATTGCTTGAACCTGGGAGGCAGAGGTTGCAGTGAGCCGAGATTGCGCCACTATACTCTAGCCTAGGTGACAGAGTAAAACTCTGTCTCAAGAAAAAAAAAATTCAATATGTTGAAAAACATAGGTTGCATTATTTGTAACATCACCTTGTTTTTTTATCCCCGTATGCTGCAAGGTGAACTCTCTTTCATACCATTACATGTTCTATTTACATCATTTCAAATGGCTTTCTAGAGGTCCCCTGTCTACTCTCACTTCAGTCATTTACCTGTTGTTCAACACTTGTTTCTAATTTTTCCTCTAGTAAAAAAGTTTCAAAGAGTATCTGTGCAGTTCAGATTTTACAAATATCTATAATATTTCCTTAGAATGAATTCCTAGATGTAGAATTATTAGGTCAAAAGGTGGGTATATCTTTCAGGGTTTTGCTATGCATGGCCTGATCTCACTCTAGAAGGGTCATCAGAGTTGCCAGTAATGGATGAAAATATCATTTCTCTGAGTTCTTTATGAAATTAGATACTGTCAACTTTTTTTTTAGGGGCACCAGTTTGAGAGATGAAAATGACATCCAATTTTTTTTTGTTCCATTTGACCTTTTTATTACAATTGAGGTCAAACTTTTTCTCTACCTATTTATTAGCTATTTGTATTTCTTTTTTCATAATCTGCCAGCTCATGTTCTTTGCTCATTTTTCTATTAGGTTAGTAATATGTTTTCTTATTGACTTGGAAAAACTTTTTAAATAGAAATTTGGACATTTTGTTCCAATATTTTTAGCACTTTAATTTTTGTCATTTATTTTTCTTAATGGTGTTTAGGACGCAACGTCATTTCCATTAATATCTTCATCTGTCCGTTTATATGTCTGAATATCACAACCATTAAATTTTTGTATATAATTTAAAAGTCAGCCTAGATGATTTTTGGGGTTCTAGACATAGCAAGATTAATACTTAAACTGAACATGGAAGAAAATTCTAATAGAACTGAGCTAATAATTAAAGGAATAGCACTGTAGGTGTAATTCGTTGAATGATTTATCTGCCGTAATGTCTGAAATCTGGAGGTATCAACATCAGTCATTCCACAAGTAGTGTGTGCCCTGACATTTAATTTCCAAGCCCTTTCTCCTGACTCCAGGGAAGGCTGAAAAGTGAGAGGTATTGACTTAGGCTTCAGACTGCTGAGAACAATGAAACAATCTCTAGTTATCTCTTCTGGGCTCCAAATTGACATTCAAAGAGAGCGTTTATTAGTAACAGGTAAGTTGAAACTCATGCATTGTTCATTCATAAGCACTATCAGAAAGCCTGTGGTAAAATTGTTGTCTGGTGATATTTTTTCAGAGAATTAGCGCCAATTTGCAGAACCCATTCAGTCCCCACATGAAATGTAATAAAGCACCCTGTTAACTCTTCTCTGAGCTTCTCTGTGGGTTAGTGTCATCAGTCTCAGATTGCAAGCTCCTTCATATTGGAGGTTTCCTTAGAAATACACTTTTCTGGAACATCTGCAAACAGTACATCTTGAGAATGTGTTACAGATGTTTTCCTGACTGCAGAAGTTGTTTTTGCCAGGCGCAGTGGCTCACACCTATAATCCTACCACTTTGGAAGGTCAAGGAGCACAGATCACCTGAAGACAGGAGTTCGAGACCAGCCTGGCCAACACGGGTGAAACCCCATGTCTACTAAAAACACAAAAATAAGCCTGGTGTGGTGGCACACGCCTGTAATCCCAGCTACTTGGGAGACTAAGGCACAAAAATTACTTGAACCTGGGAGGTAGAGGTTGCAGTGAGCTGAGATCACACCACTGCACTCCAGCCTGGCCGAGAGAATGAGAGTCCATCTCAAAAATAAGTTGTTTTTAACTAAAAATATATGACCTATTCTTGTCTATCTTTGTCTGAGGCTACTTTTGTCTTTGTCCCTGCTTATCATCTTTGATGAATTATCTATAGAATTATCTTAAAAGATATGTTCTTTTATAAACATTTCTATCAAAAAAGTAACAGAAATCCTGGAGATAAGTATTGAGTAGGAAAGATAAATGGGATAAAATACAGATAGTCCCAGACTTCCAGTGGTTCAACTTAGAATTTTTTGATTTCACACTGGTGCAAAAGTGATAGGCATTCAGTGGAAACCATACTGCAAACACCCATACAGCAATTATATCTTTCATTTTTAGTATAGTATCCAACAAATTACATGTGAAAATCAACATTTTATAATAAAATAGGCTTTGTCTTACCCATCTGTAGGCTAATGTAAGTGTTCTGAGCAGTTTAAGATAGGCAAAACTAAACTACGATGTTCAGAAGGTTAGGTGTGTGAAATACATTTCCAGCTTACAGTTTTTTCAACTTGTGGTGGGTGTATTGGATGTAACTCCTTCAAAAAGTTAAGGAGCGTCTGTATACAAAGTAAATTAAACTAGCAGTGCAGTGTGCTCACCACATTACTTACCTTACCATGGAAAAGAGGGCTCGGTGTAGAATTATTAGCAATGGTGGTATTCTTATCAAGCATACAAGGACTCATTGGAAAGGTGTTCATGGTAGATTCCAGAAGCAGGTACAGTGCAGTGGTCCTTGTAGGCAATTGGGGGGGGGGGGGGCATTGATTGTAACCAGCCTTGGCCTGGGCTTCAAAGGCAGGACTCTATGCCTTCCCCTTAGTCTGCAGAAATGGGGATACTGAGCAGCAGGTCATCCCAACAGAGTTATCACAGTGGAGTGAAATCCAGGGAGTAGTTTCTAGAAACAGAGGAAAAGCCCCTGGTCATTAGAACTGTACCACAGAAAGGTCCTGGCTGCAAGGCTAACTTGACACCAAGTTCTTTGGCCAAGGGGACTAGAACTCCTTAAATTCCCCTAATCAGCTGTTCCAGCCCCTAGGGTAGGCCATGGGTCCAGGAGGTCAGCCAGTCCTAGGGAGGGCAGAAGGCAAAAACTCTGCAGGGATGTCAGGACTAAAGGCAGTTGCCTTGAAGTGTCTGAAACACCAAACATGCAAGGCCAGACCATCCATGCTCTGCTTTAGTGATTCTCCATGTCAGCGTGTCTTCACCTTCTTTCATGTTAACAAGGAAGGTTATTTTTCCCACCTTGTTCACTGGGTAGTTACGTTGTTACCACTTCACTCTTGGACTAAAGATGACCTGTGAACATTTGCCTAGTTCTGCTCTTCATGTTAATTTTGAACTCTCATGTGCATTTCCCACAGTTGGGTTGGACACTACCTAGTATTTACTGTCATTATCAGATAGCACTTGGTCACCAGCACCACCACCACTGAGGTGTCCTCTCCAGCTACCTAAGGAAATCGCCACTTGTCAATAGGAAATGAGAGAAATGTACACTCTGGCAGCAGGATAATGTGATCAGTGGTTATCTACTAAAAGTTTAACTCTTGTTATGAGCATATTTTTATTTCTTGGGGGAAAGTACTGACCTGAAAATCAAGAGACATGGCTACTACTAACCCAGGTCCTGTGAATTGCCCCTTTTTCTCCACCTCTAAAGTTGGGTCTGATAAAAACCTGTGTCCTCATCCTTGCTCAGGACACATGATGTCTATAAGTAAGACAATGCCTTTGAAAAAAGATAAGCAATGTGGTAGGTGAGTTCCCCCAGATCCCCAGCCAACTTAGAGGCAAAGTGCAGACCATGTTGGTACTTGATTGAAGATTGGGATTTAGAATAAGGCAGTTATCTTTTTGCTCAATGCATCCTCTTCAGTTACAAATTTTTCTGCAATCTTTTTGTTTAGGGGAAGTGTATGGGTCATTTTTAGGAGGATATGGATATTGCAAGGTCACATCTTTCCAGATCTCTTTCCCGGTTCAGAGTAATTCTGCCTGACATGCCTAGAAAATAGGATTCATGTAATGACAGAATAAATTTTTCCTTCAGAAAGGAGGTCTGAAGCTCTGCCATTTGTATATATCAAAGAGAGGATAAACCTGCCCAGATTAAAAGAGGTAGTCACATTTCATATACATAATTCACAAGCAGAAAAACATTTCTGTATTATGTAAGATTCAGCCCTCAAAAAGTGTATTATTATGAGGGTAACTTGCAAAGAATTAGATTACAGTAGAAAATAACCAGGTATTATTTATCTTGATATTTTAATTTTATTTAAATATAGGAAACAAATTAAATCCTAAGTAAAGCTTAACTTAAAATTATATTTGAAGGCTATGTCTTTGAGACCAAGGGAAATGTGGCCACAGTTTTTTATTTCTTTGTGCTTTTTTTTTGGAAATATTATAGGCAACAGCATTATTGAGAAAAGCCCTTACAGAAGAGTGTGGCCACAGGTCAACTATTCACAGTAGTGAATCATCTTGCAGCTTGTCATCTATTCTGAATGGCAATAGTGAAATAAAGGAACCCAAACCTGCTGTATGGCTCAACAGTGGTCCTACAGGGGAACAAGGTAATTATTGTTAAAGTGTGTGTCCACAGCAAAAAGGCATTCAGGATCATCATCTTTCTCGAGGTATACCTATAGACTATCACTGACTAGAGAATACCTCTGAATTTAATATGCATAATACGTTATTTGTTTTATACCACCTTCCAATAAATATGTATGATCTCCTTTAGTCTAACAGGAATGGGAAATCTAACTGTAAGTCTAGTTCTAGTGAATTTCCAATAAAATAAGTATGAAGAAATTAGGAAATCTTAACTAAACTAATCACTTGGCAGTAGATAATTTTTTTGCCACAAAGATGAAGGTGATTCCATACAATACTGTGAAGTTTTTGATACCACTTAGTAGAATTTACTCATAATTGTAAACATACCTTTTAGTTATAATAGAACCTTGTCAGTGTCCAAACAGTTGATTAAAAATCAATGAATTTATGCCCCCAAAATTTAATAACCAATTTTGAGTACCCAGAAACTGTGATTATTTTAGCATTACTGCTAAGATATGCCATTTAACTGCTTTAATGGTTTTCCAAGACAGCTATGAATTCCTCAGGAATTGCTCGAGTTGATGGATAAGTGCAGGATGTGAGACTCACTTATTTTATGTCTCACCCAAATTTGAGAGATGTCAGTGCAAATTATTTCGCATGAAAGCAACATAGAGTACCTTAATTTAATTTTATTTTTAAATTTTCATTTATGAGATACCTTAATTTTAGAATAGGTTTCCTTTTAGGAACACTATTATTTCAGACAAGAAATACATTAACAACAACAAAAAAAAGTGAACATAAAAGGAATGGCAATTAAACATCCAAAGGATCTATTTCTTAACTTTGAAATATATTTTTATTACTATACATTCAATTTTTAGAAGTTTCAAGTGGCTGTGGAGACAAGAGCAAGAAAGAAAATGTGGCCACAGATATCCCAATCACAGGTAAGGCTATGGTTGTATAAGAGTTTCAAACACAGAATTTAGCATTATTATATAATCAGGACATTTTTGGTTAGTGGTTTTTGGACCCCACTAAGAGCAAGTGTATTCAGCTACTGCATGCTGGAGCAGGAGATTAATCATAAGGGCAGAACGTAAATGCTTATGTTAACATAAACTAAGGTGGAAAATCACCGTGTCTATTGAATTCTTCGTCACCATGTTATATATTTACATCTGTAACATCCTCCAGCACGCACCCTTTCAGCACCTGCATCTGTGTGAAAAGGCCCATCTCCCTGGGGAACACCCAGTCATTACATAGCAAACTATAGATGTGTCTGATTTTACTCTTTTTTTTCTGTTGTAATTGAATATGTGTATTAAAATAAGAGCAGGAAATTTTTTAAAATGCTGGATAGGAAGCTTGAGTTTGCCTCAGTTACAAAGCCTGTCTGATAATTTAAAAATTGTACCAATCAGGCTTCATCAAGACCTATTAAGATTTCTGCACATGTATTAGGCTTTTTTAGGTGGAATCTGAATGATATCATTATTTTTTTTCTTTTTAGAATAGCAACAGCAGCAATTAGTATTCTGTACAGAGTTCTATTTGTCATACATCTGAATTTACTAGTACCTTATTTTGTAAAGTGGTGTACTACTTCATTATAAATTCAAAGGTCTGACTTTAAATATTTATACAAGTAAATACACCATTGCACCAAGGTACCGAGGCATGCATCTGCATATGTGGAGTTTTGTTTTTGTTTATAAGCAGAAAAGAATGACTTGCTTTTATGGCAGTGCAATTCCTGGCATGATGATTAATTTTTTAAACTCATGTTTCTGTGATAAACTCTGGTTTTGAAAACGGAGTTTATGGTAGAACAATTATTGTATATATTATGCCTCCAGATAATATTTCACTCCAAAATGCAAGTGTTTTTTATCATTTTAAACATTTTCCCCAGTGATGTGTTTATTGTGTTTTTAGTTTTCATTTTCAGAAAAATCTGATATGGTTCCCTGTTATTTTTATTAATAGAAATATAGTTGATCCCAAACTACAGATAACCAAGAAGTCATTTGGATGCTTTTCCCTTGCATTTATTTGCGGATGCAGAAGTATCTACTGAATTTATTTCAGTTAAAATTATAAAAGCTTATTGAGGAGAAATCAGGAAATGACCTATTGTTCATTCTTTCTTCTCTTTTTACTATTCTTTATAATCATCCCTTGCTGGGAGTAGTTGACTCTTCCCAAAGGTAATGCAAATGTATTTTCTCATAGACTTTCTTTATAAGAAAACCGATAGTTAAGTACCAGGGTTTCAAATCCTCCATTATGCAGAACGATGTGCAATATGCCTAGAAGCAACCTGGGCTGTTTGCCATTAAGATTTTAAAAGAAGTTGTAGTTCTAACAACCTGCCATTGATTAATCAATAGTTGGCAGTTTTTAAAAAATGAATTGTGCCTATTTTGTGCCAAAATATTAGACATAAAGAAAACCTTTGGAAATTAAAAAAAAAAAAAGAGTTAGCAAAGCCATATACTTCGTTAAAGTGTTGCTGTTCTGTCCTTGCCAGTGCACTCTCCCCACCCAGAGACCTCCCATGAAATTCACGTTTGAGGGCCTCATGCACCTTGGCACTACTAATACTGTTGCTTTGTCCATCATGTGGCTACTTTGGTCTCTTAAGTTCTTGACTGTCATCCCTTTATTAAATGTTTGTGACTTTGGCATAACTATTTGGAAGATTTGACTTTTGGTAGAGGAAAGCAAGTATGTAGTTTAAGACAGAGTCTGCCTGCCTCTTTATAATAGTTCTGTTGGGGTTTCCTGTTTGTGTGGGTGCATACTGGTTGTGTATGTATGGGCTGCATTCCTTCTAGAATATTCCAAAGAAAAGAAATATTGCTGGGAGTTGAGGAAATGTAGCAATTGGGCTAGGGCTTTGGAACAAGCCATCATTGTCAGCTCTTTTACTCCTTGCTCTGTTTCTCCACCTTCTCTGAGCCTCTGTATTGGGAAAGCAGACATACTGCCCAATAGAATTATCTTAAAGTTTAAATGAAATAATTTGTGAAAGTGCCGAGCAGATACTAGACACTCAATTTTATCTGTGATGTATAGTAATATTCATGTGAACATTATTAGAGTTCTCGGTCTTCTGTGCTGGCTCCCACAATCCCCAGCATTTCCCTATCAGCTATGAGGAGCCTCACAAAGCAAACTGAAAGAGGAACAGAATTAGAGAGAATGAGGATGCAGCATGACAGAAGTGCTGTCCCGAGATGAACCCCCAGAAGAGTGGACACTTGCAGTCTGTTCTTGTGGACCTGCATACCTTCCCTGAGTTGTGGTAGCCACTTGGGACCAGGACCCTCACAAGCACAGTGCTGCTGCAATACCTGCAAGACAGTACTTCCCGATGGTCCTGCTACATTAGTTTCTGCAAGAAATTGCCACTTGAGAACACAATTGAGATTCAAATCCAGAAGGATGTTTACGTTATCAAAAAGGAATCTCAAGGAGAGTTTGATGATACTTTTCCAACTTCCACTTAGTCCCATGCAGAAATCCGTTGAGAAAAATCCCGAACAGCTACTGAAGTACTCCCGAAGATCTCATTAGTCAAGGCCCAGACATCTCTGCCTGGGGGTGCCTATGTGCCCTTAGTAACCCCTATGTACTCACAGTGGAAGACGTTGTAGGGTACCAGGTGGCAGACCCCCCCTGATGTGTGTGCTGCCCCACAAGTATTCATGAGCTAATGCAGCATTTCCCAAAATGTGTTATTTGCAGTGCTCCACTCAGAAAATACATCAATTAACACATATTTTGTTGTCAAGCCCTGTGTGATCCTTCTCTCTGCAGTATGCGTAATGCATAGAAGCATAGTGAAGACTCAGAAAACTTTCAGCAAAGGAATTGTTTAAAAGTGTGATCCTAGAGTTTGAGGTAACTTATTTTTTTGAAAACGGAATTCTTCCTAATATCCAACAGAATTAATGTTCTGTGGAGCATGCTTTGTAAAATATACACACATATATGCGGAGCACTTTTTAAAGCAGTGAGTCCAGTGGCGGCACCAGTTTTCTCAATACACTAAAATTATCTTCAAGATTTTCCTATGGTTTCATTTTGTGGGAAGCTCCTTTGTGGGTGAGATTGCTTTTTAATGAGATTTGGAGCTACTTTAGTTTAATTACACCCAGATGTTATGACTGACAGCTGCTTGTTACTGCTTTTACTTGAATTGACGAGGAAGTTACAGTAGTAACTAAAGTTGCCCAGTGGTGCCGTTCTTCAGTATGGGGTCCTTCTGTGTGTCTTTACTTGCTTTTTAGCCATTTCAGAAGAGGTATAAGAGAAGACGTGGCTGAGGTGAAATCTGGGAAGTCACAGGAGGTTGGGGGTGGGAAGCTGTGAAGTCATACCATTATCAGAATGAGGGGGTCCTGGGGATGTTTAGCCTGGGACATGCACAGTAGCTGTTTAAATATTTGAGGAGCTGCCATATACCAGGCAGAATATTTATTGAGCTTAATTATAGAGAGTAGCTCAGTAGCAAAACAACTTTCTAGCTCTTCATTTCAGCAAAATCAAGTTCAGTACCTTCCAAGTGTGAGTGCTTAAACCATGGCAGGAAACATTAATTTTTTTTTTTTTTTTTTTTTTTTTTTTTTTTTTTTTTTGAGACAGGGTCGGGGTTTTGCTCTGTTGCCCAGGTTGGAGTGTATTGGTGTGATCACAGCTCATTGTGGCGTCTGTCTCATGGGCTCAAGTGATCTTCCTTCTTCAGCCCCCCAAGTAGCTGGGACTGCAGGCATGCACTACCATACCATGCCTGGCTAATTTTTGTATTTTTTATAGAGATGGAATTTCACCAGGCTCGTCTTGAACTCCCGAGCTCAAACAGTCCACCCACCTTGGCCTTCCAAAGTTCTAGGATTATAGGCGTGAGCTACCTTGCCTGGCCCCGTGACTTGCTAAAAGAGGCATTTTGGAAGGAATTCTTGTTTCTGTGACCCTTGACATCCCATCTAATGCCAAGGTACTGTGCTTCTGACTCTGTGCTAAATGGAATACAGTGTGCCAGCATTCTTGTATCTTCATTTTCTTTCTCATTTGCTCATCACCCCAATTGGAGGTTATCTTGGCCGAGGGGCTCCTCCTTAAAGAGTCAGCTATCACTTTGAAGGCATCTGCCTTATTAATCATTATTATGGAGCATGCGAGTTTTCTGTGTTGAGATTTACATAGAAACTCTCCTGGACACACACTGCTGCCCCAACTACACACACACAGTCAGTATTCCATAGCCTGTATGATCTGTTGTTGTGAATATAATCTACCCCTTTTATTAGCCTAGTTGTTGCACACTAAAGAATCTGGTGGAAATCAAAGGTGAATTTTTATATCTCTAAATGTATGGTTTTCTGTATATAATAAGTAGTATATAATTAGATGTATTGATATGATATATATTAGTTATATATTATATATAATCATATATAAAATCTTTAATTGTATTAATTAATACAATTAATACTTTTACTTGGGCTGAATCCTGGGATACCAGGGACCACAAAAGATGGGATCTCTGCCCTCACTAAGCCTCCCTCATCTCTAACCTTCACAACAGTCCTATAGGGTAAACATTAGTACTCACCGTACAAGTGGTCAAACAGAAACTTAGAAAGGTGTCTGCTCATGGCTGTGTAGCCAGTGTGTTAGATTTTGAATTGAGCTCAGACTTTGGGATTTGGGTCCCTGAACTTCTTCCATTTCACTGCCCTACCTCTTTTATTTTATTTATTTATTTATTGATATTTTTTTAGACAGAGCCTCGCTCTATCACCGAGACTGGATTGTGGTGGCATGATCTCGGCTCACTGCAACCTCTGCCTCCTGGGTTTAAGCAATTCTCGTGCCACAGCCTCCTGAGTAGCTGGAATTACAGGTGTGTTCCACCATGCCTGGCTAATTTTGT